GTCAGAGCACATAACTCTCATTTTCAATTTTGTAATCTTCAAATAATAAGAACTTGGCCCCAAATAGATATGGGTTAGTTGAGGTAGCTAAGCCTCATTAGCAATACAAATAATTAACACATGTACCTAGAAAATACCATGCAAGCACGCCAACAACAAAATTTAAGATCAAGAAAAGCAAAAATTAGTGCAAGTAAAATGGAAAAGAGGGACAATCCAAAAGCGGAAAATTCACTTCAATATCTCAGAGAAAAAAAGCAGTTATAAAATGATATGACTGTGATCGTTAGCGTTTTAAGTATTTTCACGTTGTGTACATATTTGTAATTTTCTAGTATGTAGACGTGTATGGAGTAAAGGGAGGGGATTTTTCAGGGTTAGGGTTACCTCGATAAAACACATTTGTAATACAAAAGTATAAAAAGTATAAAAGTAAAAAGTATATGCGGCATCTTGGAGTCAAGAGCCTCCATGTTACAAAATTTTGCATACACCCCTGAATAAGCAAAGGCATCACATACTTTTAACAGATGTTATTTCTAAAGTTTGAGTCTTAAGTTTTATGGCATCTAGTCAAAAATGGAAACATACAATTTCATAGCCCTGGGTGAGATACCTTTGAAATTTTATCAGTCGCAGAAATTTTATCAGTCGCACTGCACCTGGTTTGGACACTGGTTGCTAGAGTGGGGTATCTCTGAAAAGTAATCTCTGGCAGAATCACTGTAATGAGGTTGCACATCTCTGAGCAACAGGGCGTTCCTGAACCATAACTGAGGTGAAATCCTATTAGCGGAAGGACATTGTCGCAAGAACTGAAATTATGACTTTATAAACAGACTAGCATTCAGAATCTTTTTCACAGCGTTTAATTCAAATCTCGAGCTTAAACGTTTTGCACTCGGTCACACATAACATCAGTGACGTAGAAGAAATGTTGAAAGTAAACCACTTCATAACCGCGATTATACGTTTCCCAGTATATCACAGTTCTCTGTAATAAGGCTAAAACTTTGCTTAACAATTATCTTAACAACCGTGAAACAAAATTAATCAATCATCCAGTACTGAAATCTACTGTCCACGCTTTAAGATGTAAAGAGTTCAAGTCTGCCTGTGGCTACATCAGTCAGAAGGTTCGGGGTTTAGACGTGCTATTTAGCTTCCCCGCTCGGTCGAAATACAGCTAATCACCTGCATAGTTGATGTACCACGTTTTCCCGTTAAAAGATCGACATACAGAATATCAGCTGGCCTTGATGTCTTCAGTTTTCCCGTTGAGGGATCAAAGTACAGGTTTTCAGCTGGCGATCGACATAGAGGCTATCAGCTGGCCTTAATGTCTTTAGTTCTCCCGTCGAAGGATCACAGTACAGGTGGTCAGCTGGTCTTGAATTTTGCATTTTGAAAATGAAGAAGTGTTTCTTCGGATTTGCGCCGCTCTAGCGTCAGAGCCACGTGGCTCTAGTGTAAGGAGCTGCATGGTTCTAGTACATTGTAGCGTACAACTGGATGTTTCCTTATATTCTAGCTTTGCTATTTCAGAGCAACCTTACAGCCTTCATACTAGTTTTTAATACGATATTCGTGGAAATGTTTTTCCTTTTTATTTGTTTTATTTATTCTAGTTTATTTTAAGGTTACCAGATACCTTTAGGGGTTTTTCGTGTGAGTGGAGGACGTTACGATTTAAACTGCAGATCCACCAAAACTCTATATCAGATTAAAGCTTATTCAGCTGGCTGCCTTAATTTTTGTTTGTTTTTCACTAATTTGGTTTGCTTCATGCTCTAGTCTTTCGGAGGGTTTTGTAGTCATTTGGACTGGACTATATTGGAATTTAAATATAAGATATTTTGTTAAAAAAGAGAATGTAATGATAAAACCTCATTGTTCATGATGATGCAGGCTATAGAACGGCCATGTTAATTGTCAGTGCATAATGCCATTATAATAGCTTTCTCGAGCACCTCTCCGCGTTCTAAGATGATTTTTTTAACATTATCTGTTGCATTTTGCTTACGTTTTGCTCCTTTTACTTTCGAAAAAAATATTTACTTGATGTAATGTTATTATAAAAGGCCCTTAATTTACATCTTTCGCCTGTATTACCGCCATGCTTTATTACGGCTTTTTCGTACCCGGCTTCATCAAATGATCCACCGTAATAAATCTTTCAAAGCGTTAAAAGCGTTTCTTGTCAACTGAAATTATTGAAACGCGCCATATTTAATTTTAAGTTACATTTCGATGCATGCTCATACGTCAACAGTTAAGTAATTTCCAATGTTTCAAATCAAAGACTCAGAATATTAAACGTTTTTCTCTTTCTTTCCATCAAATCCTCTGGTGTGCAGAGACTGTGTGGACGTATTAAAACTCCGACTTCGATATCCAAGCTGGTTGTCTTTTTCACGGAATATCGTTTCAATTTCCACGTAAACGATCAGATCAACAGAGTAACTTAATAAGCTTAATCTACTTTTCTCGTTGTCTGCATGATGCCTGTATGATTCATTATAATAGTAGACACTATTCCAGGAAACAGAGGAACAGACCGTCAATACAACTACGTTATTGACCCGCACCAAATCAACTGTATTTTAAAACTGTGTTTAAAGTTCTTTAAACGATTTAAAAACTACTTTGACCACAATTTGAGGTATTTTTATTATTTTTCACGACTAAAACCAAAATAGCGTTAGAAGCTTGAATTGTATATGACATCTATTTGAATAGTATATATAACTGTTACATTTTGCCAGGTTTTTGTTGTATTTGAAACATATTTGTCATCAAAACTACATTTTAAATACAGTATTTAAACTATGTTTTCAGAAAGAGAGTATTGGCGAGTTGCTAAATTTTTTTCAAATACCGTGTATTTAAACTGCAGTTTGGAAAGAAGAACCTAAAGTCAAAGATTTAAAAAGTAGTTTTTACAAGTAAAGTTCAAAATCAGGTTTTAATTAGGATGTTTAAAGACTATTTTGAACATACTTCCCCGTCTACGACCTTAAACAGCTCATAAATAGCCTAGTTAAAACATGTTTGAAGAGAGTCAGTTCACTTTAAATTGTGATTTGAAATGACACGCACCTTGAAATGTCTCCAAACAGGATTAAAACTGGCTGTTTTTACAGTATTTTCACAAACTATCCTCATCTAAAAAGGTATTTAAATGCCGGGAAACCTATTTCCAAACCTAACTTAAACAGGCTGTTTATAGGGTGTTTTGAAAAAACCCGGCTGTCTCAATGGTAAAAAATATACTTTAAAGGAAAAAAAAATCAACCAAATTTATTTTCAAACAGATTTTAAATATTGTTTTCGGAGTGTTTTTTAAAATTGATACCCGCAGCCACGGACTTGGTAAACAAAACGCAATAGACATGCAGATACAGTCAGCCGAAAGAAATAAGAACACATCGTCTAGGCGCAGCCCATTTTTCAAAGGCAGTATCTTATAGTTGAGCCATATTGACAGAAGTGTCAGAATTCTCAGAATTCGCAGTTCTCGACACATCCGATTTCTAATCATGCGCGTACTTAATAGACTGTCTTAATAAGTAACCATGCAGTAAGTATAAACGCCTCAAAATTATAAAGCCTGAGTCCTCTAGAAAACAAGACACAGAGCTGTCATCCAGTTGGGAGCTAATTAATGTATCTCCAAACAAAAACAATCAGCCTTAAACTTTATCAGTCAAATAAAGTTTCGAAATATGCATGTATTTCGAGCCCATCGACCGGTTGGATTACGCGCGTTGTGTCACAGTGGTTGACAGTGTGAAAGATCAATCGATCCCCAATCGTTATTCACCGAATCTCTCTGTGTATATATCTACACAGCCAGATTTTAAATCAATCATTGATCAGTTACTAAGTTTTGAAACTTCTAAAATTAGCATCAACCATAATGTAACATTAACATACAGTGTAATCTAAATAATCTAATCGATTTTGACATAGAACCGCCGTTATCCGCGCGCGTAGAGCCGGATACGGTGAACAAAGGTAAAATAAGCGCTAAACAACATTATCTAAATAAACGCTCACCTCTCGTGTTACAAGAAGAAGCAAACGCTCAAGAAATTCCTCCACATCGTTATCTTACGTTTACGAATCATACGAAATGAATAAAATTTTATCAGACCCCGAGCTCGACTTAGCACGCGCCGGCACCTCTCGCGCAATAGAGTCGCATGGTAAAACCACGTGCTAAGGATCAAAGCATCTTTGTATTTTAAAATCATGGCGGAAGGCTTTTGATTGTTGCAACTGGCGTTGAGTTGCTCTTTATTGCGCAAAAAAGAGGATTTGTCAACTCTGTAGACTGTCCAGACGCGCAGATTTTGTTTTAATCACGAATCAAAATGTCTTCAAATCGTCAGCGACTGGGATTTACTTTTAAAGGAACGGATCTAAGTTCAACTGGTGGACACATGTACTGTTTGAGTCTTTCCGAGTCTTCGCGATGCGAATAAAGTGTGAGTTCGATTGTTCCTTGTTTATAATAATCTGTTATTGGAAGGTATAGGCCTACACGTTATGAAAAGGACAGTTGGATTTATGGCCTTTCGAAGAGCACTGTCAATTAATTTAGGCTGATTTAACAACAGGACGGAAACGTCATTTGACGAGGGGTGAGCGCGCGGAAAGGACTAAACTCGACTTCCGGTGCCCAATTTGTCGCTCTGCCATTGTTCAAGTCAGTTGTTTGAATTGCGGGCGCCGCCGTCAACTGACGTTCCCGTTCTGTTGCAAAATCAGCCTTTTTGTTACCAAGAGCCATTTTGGCTTTTGTTTATATGCGTCTGCTTACTGGTCGTCTGGATACAAGGTAATTTCGATACACCAGGCGATACAACTCGTTCAGATACAAATTGACTCAGTCGAGGTGACAGTACAACCGATATTTCGCGACATATGCTTTTCTTGTTCACGCGCGATAACTATGCATCAGGTCTAATCACAATATTTTTGCAGTTTCACTGCTTGGGTTCGTATGGAAACGACTCGTTTCCTTTACAGTTAATTGATCAGATTACATTCTTCCTCTCACGCCAAATGTGTCACGTTAATTAAGCTTTATGTCCGTTCTCGTTCACTCACACATAGCAATACCAAACCACAAAACCAATAGCGAATGTTCTTGCTCACGCCTTGCAAGCTTCATGATGATTTTAGTGGAATCAAATATTATTGTGTTAGGTCTTGCGAGAAAGAATGTATATATGTATAGCCCGGGGGGGGGGGGTACTCGCAGAAAAATTGGGTAGGGGTGTGCGGCCCGCTTCCCAAAACCCTTACCCTATTTATGACCAAAATCTGCGATTTTCCCTACCCTATTTATGACCTAACCAAAAATTTGATACCCTATTTTGTGAAGGGCTTTTTTTGCTTGTATTTTCTAGCCTACAAAGCACCCGGTGGAGAGGAAGGCAAAGCGTGGATGGAAGGAGGGGGACATGATAAGGAAGTAGCTTCTTCTAAAAAAGTGCATTCAAGACTACAGTGCAAAAATCGTTACCCTATTTATGACCAAAATGGCGGCAAAATAGCCAAAATCGATACCCAATTTATGACCAAAACGGCTGAAAAACCCTACCCTTTGGGGCCGCACATACCTATATAGCCCATATTAGGGAGTGCCCCCCCGGGATGTATAGTTGGTAAGTAAAATTCAATTATTATAATGAAATTATAATATATTTTAGTAAAATCCAACTAGTGGTCTATTATCAATGCTGCGTTCTGATTGGTTGCGCTACTACTAGGCTATATGTTATAGCCCACAAGTAGCGAAAAGCGCGGGCTTTTTGGCGGCTATTGACTATAAAGGGCTACAAGGGCTGTTGACTCAGAGCCCATTCGGGCTCGGGGAATAATTCTTAAATAGACATTTAACTTATTATATTGACTCGGTTAAGCCGAAAATGGTTAATTTCTGCTTGGGAATTCCTTCAGGAATATGATATTTTGACATCTAATTTGTTACATGATAACAATCAGGACCTTATACATTGCACACTTGTACAGCTGGTTCTATAAAGGTTGCTTTGGGCATTGGGAATTAAGCAATGGTAAGCTATTGTTTGGTGGTCCCTCAGGGAAATCATTGCATTGTTTGGTATGCCCAAATGCCCAATGGCAAACCAATCAGCTATATACAGTAGCCTCTGGAGAAGCGACAACCACAAGCTATAAATGACACCCGGTATTTTCTTTGATTAAATTCTAAAACATAATTGTCTAATAATTTCTTGTCCATACCAAAAAAATATGCAGTGACTTTGTTAACCTCTGCGTCCTGCATCCCTGATGCATAAAAATCGCCAAAGTTGCAAGATAATAATATTCATGGCATGCATTCTGATGGACGCATAGACCAAAAAAAAAAAAACTGAACATGTGTATTTGTAGAAATATCCCATTTGTGTGTTCTGTGGTAGCAGTTATTATGGCTATTGTTGAAAGATTCATATTTTTTAGCCTTTAGAAGGACTATATTTTAATTTCAGTGTACTGCAGTAATACACAGTTTTGGAGTCTGTCAAGCTAACAAGTCAGATTAACTGTCTGGTAGCACAAAGGCCCAAGCATTGTCAGTTACAGACTTGTATATTCTTTTTGTCTGGGACTCATTGTTTCTGGACTTGGACTCAATATTTTTCACAAGATGAGTCCCAAGACTCACCATAACTATTTGTAACCAAAATCACCGATCAAATATATATTCACGTCTACAACTTTTCCGTTGAAAAGCAATACCACCCGAGCATTTTGTTACACCCTTCTTGGCAGTACTAAACTCTTTGAAAATATTAACAAGTAATGTTCTTTTCTGACAATCCCAAATAACTGTTGTTTATTTAAGCTACATAAATATCCCTGCCATTTTCTTTGTATAGCCTGCTACACTGTAAATTTTGTTTGCCTTGTTCATATTCCTTATGCACTAAAGAACAGTAATTTATCGAATGCAAACCCTTTTTTACGGACACCTGCTTTATACAAGCTCCTTGTCATAAAAAAAGTTCTGATTAGGACCTACAGTGTGTACATCTGTATGGTTTGGTAAAATATCGCATTTCTGTTTATCTGGCTCGAGTCAGATAAAAAGAAATGCATTGTGTATTCAGTTTCTGTTTGCATTTAATTCTTCGAAGAAATGTCTATTGACAGAAAAGGGTGTCAGTCGAAAATCAAAGATTCCAGTACAATCAGTTATTGCCAGTTTTCGCCTCAAAATTAACAGGGACCGTAAGGTTGTTATAGAGACTGCCACTATATTGTGAGCTACTCGTTTTAATTTTAGTTCATTAATGTACATACTAATATCTTAAAAACACTTCGTGGGTGCAGTTTTCCAAGAATTAAAAAAAAGACGTGTGGTTAACATAATATATAGTTTCAGCGTTTGCAAAGAAAATTCGGAACCGGCTTGTCAATGTGCGACAGTGTGATCTGTGGCCCTCCGATCAGAAAAATCAATTTAATCTGCATATCTAAGACACTGTCCATTTTTTACTTTATTTTCAAAGCAGTCCCACTGACAGCAATAAAGTGGCCATGTTGATGGTCAACACAAAAGACCAAAATTTTCTCGAAGAATTTACATGAAAAATAGCTCTAAGTTCCCAGCAAACGTAACAGAAATTAATACTATACTCTTCAGTTGAGACCATCATGCGGCCGCCAAGAAGAGACCTAAGTGCAAAGCAGTAATAGTTTGACGGGCCGCGCCTGGTAAAAAGTAACTGAACGTCAAATTTTGGGTAGTGATATTTTCAAAGATGAAGGGAGTAATAATTTTTGGCTTAATTTCTTCCACTGATTTTAGAAATTTAAGAACACCCAGACAGAAAAGAAAGAAATACCCACATCAGATGCAAAATGTTCGACCATCATAACCAATTTAATAGATTTTAATCGCATCTATGATTTATCACATGATCGTTGATCGATTCGGCTATATTGTTACATTTTACTGGACATGTTCAAAACAGTTTAAATCTCAACAATACCTATTACATCAGTTAAAATCGTAAAAATTGTTAGTTTCAATTTGATAATATGGCTTAACGGTGGAGAACAACTTACATCATTTTTTGCTACAGGCTATTCTTTTAAAATGTCACCTTCAGAAAATAAGCCACTGTCTGTAATGATACGTCCTCTCACAAATGTTGTTTTTCAGTGATGTTACTGTAGCTCATGAGTCGAGGTTCAGCGCACAGCGGTTGGAACTTATCTCCAAGCTAGGCACTGTTATATAGCCCTTCTCTGTTCCATGTCTTCCCCAGATTGAATCCAAGAAATCTTCCAGACCCTTGCTTGTTCATATCCGCCGCTATAGCTTTGTCGTTAGAAGGTCTTGATCTACAGAAGGCCTTGTTACCCTTTAAGGGCTTAAAGTACAGGTTTTCGGCTGCTCCCAACTGCCTCCAGTTTTCCCGTTGAAGGATCGAGCTCACTCTATAACCAGGCGTACATTTCCCGGTATATCACAGTGCGCGATAATAACATATGACGCGGAAGAAATGTTCAGAGTAAATTAGTCCATAAGCATGCTTGGGTTCCCCGCGGTTATATATCACAGTCTAGAGCGAGCATAACATCAGTGACGCAGAAGAAATGTTCAAAGTAAACCACTTCATAACAGCGATTACGTTTCCCAGTATATCACAGTTCTCTATAATAAGGCTAAAACTTAAACAACCGCAAAACAAAATTAATCATCCACTATTGAAACCTACTGTCCACGCTAAGTCATTGAGATGTAAAGAGTTCAAGTCTACCTGTGGCTACATCAAATGGTTGGGGGTTTAGACGTGCTAAGCTTCCCCGTAGCAGGGTCGAAATACAGATTCGCAGTTGGCCTTGATGTCACTAATTTTCCCGTTGAGGGATCAAAGTACAGGTTTTCAGCTTTGTCGTTAGAAGGTCTTGATAATGAGCTTTCTGTGCTGCTGATGTTCCCCATCTTGTTTTTGTTAATGTGGTTAAATTCCTTTCCGAAAAAACACACTTTGTCCCTTAACGTCCGCACCCTATTGCTGTAGATATTTGTACAGACTCCACTTCTTTTCTACCCTACCAAAGCGGCGGTGGAAATGAAAGTAAGGAGGTAAAACGAAAGTAGCTGGCTTTTAAATATATTCAAACCAACAAATAGAGCGGTGACTACGTATGCCTTCGAAGAATTGTTTTCGTGTTGTATGCTGACTCGATTCCAAGATTCCAAGAAAGTTGGGAACAGACTGTCAAGTCAACTCCGCCCATTTTTGTAAAGTATTACAGTGCATAAAAATATCTTGTTGTTTTTTACTTTCCCTGAAATGTTTACGTACAGAGAGGTCGATGTCTTGAAGATTACCTGTAAGTGTTTAATTAAATATCAAGAATGCAATTCACAGTTCTGGTCGAGACGTACAGCAAATTAAACCAAGACTGACCTATACAAAGTATTTTATACCTCAATCATTAATTTATTTGTTTTTGTGCAAAATGTTGCATCATGCTTTTCACAGAGAGGTTTTCCCACAATTAGGCATTTGCAAAATTGAAACTGGTAGAACAAATAGAATAAATGTCGTCAGAAAAAAGGGTGAGCGTCGACGTTGCGTGACATTGCTGTGATTTTATGGTTACCAAGAAAACATTGGACATTCAACTGAGTATATCAAACGAGTACAGAGAGAGAGAGAGAGAGCGCGAAGAGTTTATAAATCCGCAGATTTCAAACTTTTCCTTCGACATGCAGGGAGTTCAACGTTGTGATCTACGAGGAAGCTTACAAAGAACTGTGTGCGTTGGTGCTGAGAAAACCACACATCGAAACAGGCGGTGATCTATTTGGTTTATGGGCTAACAAATACAGTGCTGTTATTCAACTGGTTCTTGGCCCAGGTAAGAGATGCAGAAGAACTTCAACCTCCTTTTATCAAGATGTTAACTACTTGGAAAAAGTCCGCATGCACCTTACACAAAAGGAAGGCATTTGCTATATTGGCGAATGGCACTCACATCACCAGCTTGGCCTTGCTCGACCAAGTGGGGAAGATGAGAACACCGTGTGGAACAACATGCCAACCTACAATCTGGCAGTCTTACAACGACAATGTTGGTTGCTTTCTGTTTGAGATCGATAGCAATGGGAAACAGCTTCCTGTGCTTCCAGGAAAGTTCCAGATTTTAAACCAGGAAAGCCCGTTTTTGCGGAAAATTTGAAGTAAAGAAGTTAAAAGAGCTGGAGAAGAAGAAAAGAAAGGGGAAGACTTCAACGTCTATATCAAGGATCTAATCCTGACAGAGGGAAAGATTTCCATTCCTGTGCCCATAAAACCGAAGAAGCGAGTTTATGGACGAGAAAACGAAGTGCGCAGAAGAGCCAGAATAGCCAACCAGCCACTAACTAAGAATAATAAACCAGAAGATCCTAAAACAAAAGAGGAGAAAGGAATGAATAAACAACCCCGACCAGAAGAAGGAAACCAACCACAGGAACAACACCAGCTGGATAAGCAGGGAGACTCAAAAGCCTTTCAAAAAGAAGACAGGGAATTATTAGAATTCGATTCTAATATGACTCCGAAAGCTTTCTGGTCATTTTCAACTTGTTTTGCTTTTGTTTTTGTTTTGTTGTTTTTGTTGTTGTTGTTGTTGTTGTTGTTGTTTGTACTCAAGTCTCGGCCTCTATAGGGATTTGAGAGACAACAGAGTCGTGAAAAATTTGTAATTTTGACCCTAAAGCCTCAAAGTCATGTTAAAATTTTAATATATCGAACGAGGGCTATTAGAATGCACTTGTTTACGCATGAGCGAAGGAAATAGCTATGCGATTTGCACGATAACGTCATTTTAATGCTACTACCAGAATCCTTTAAGTTTTTGCTTTCATGTGCAAATTAGAGCTTTGAAAATTTGAACCTCACTTTAAATATGAAAGAAAAACGAAATGAATTCTATCAGGTCTTAGTAGTAAGAAGACGTAATCATTGCCTATTGTGTCATTGTGTGACTACAGGTAAAATTTTTGCTGACTGCCAACCAGAAACGTTCTGAAAATTGATCAATCTGACGAAGGAAGTAATAATTTAATCAACTTACAATATCCTGGGAAGGTATGCAAGAAACTTCTAGTATTTATTTGATATATCACTTGAAAAATAACAAAAAGCTTTCTTTATATCTATTCAACTTGCCGTGTAAAGGTCGCTCCTTCATCGCAACGTCAACCTGACCCTTCCACCATATCGTATCTCGGAAAAGTAAAACATTACACGCTTTCCTTTTTCTGTTAACAACTATATCCCGTCGGTGAAATGAAATATCCCATATGAGTTTTGCCACAATCACGCTTGGAAATTTTTGTGCCAATTTTGGCCAAGTTTAGTGTCCCCAGTTTCCAGTCCCTAATTAGCAGTTCTATAGCGCGGTCATTTGGCAGCCATTTTCGCTCAAGAGTCCAGGTCAGAATTTGGCCATTTGCGGAGGAATGGGTACTAGGGGAGTTTTTGCCACTCAAAAACAAATTTCTACAGGCTTTAAGCTTTCTGTTGATATGCGATTTGCATGCGTTTACATCTTTCTTCGGCAAAATTTTTCCTTGTACTTTTACTCTCTGTTTCATGCACACTGAGTTCTCAGTCCTTCAAGAAAAATTGAGTATTTTTGTCGAAAATTTTCTCGCTGGGAAACGTATTATTGCCAGGTATGTTATCGTAAACAGAAGACCTGAAACCTCGGCTGTGTTTTCCTCGTTTTGGTTTTTTACCGGATGCCTCTGCTTCTTAGAGATTTTTGCGTTTATATGGTTCGCTGAGCGGTTTACATGGGGAGCAAGTCACGAAGAAAGAGCACTACATCGAAGAAATGCAAGTCAAATTTTCCTGTTGGGGAGCTCAGTAAGCAGAGGGCTACGCTTCGAGCGGAGTACCTTTCGAAATCAAAGGAATTTGTACCTTAAAAAAAAGGCTTCAGCGACTCAAGAATAAGGTAAGTTTAGCTTGAAAAAGGTTTTTTTAGTGAAAGGAGAGGACTACCGTGTGGCACGAAAATTTTGCGGGTTCTTATTTTTGCGATTTTTCCATCGATCCGCTAAAATTTACTCCAGAGTAAATGTTCTCTAAGTTAAATTCGCTACATTCATTTCGTACAGAAGAAGTGGGAAGAAGTTGATAAAATATCAAGCAAACTCATCTTGTGTGATCATGTCCGCAATTCTCATGACCACTCTGTTTAACAAAGTATTTATATTACAAGGAGAAATTTGATGCTGATCATTCATAGGGCTTAAAGGGTTAACTTATGTTCTTGGACTTTCAGAAAACTCGCATAAAAGAAAATGTTGATTCGGTAAAAGTTGATCTTCCCGCTGTCAAGATTAAAAGAAGGTTAGTTTTTGAAGTGACAGCTAACACATCCAGTCTAAGAAAAAAAGTCCAACTGTGCTCACTGATGACGGAAAGCTAAACGTGCCGCAGCGAAGTGCCAGCAGAAGACAACTTGAAACGTTGGTTGCAGCAACAGAGGTAAATGGTGGATCTGTTGAAGACAGGTCCCCAGCCTTGGATGGCATGTTTTCTACGCTGACTAACTATGCGAAGACAGCAGCTCTATCTAAATACTTTTCTTCATCAAAAAAGATGAGAAAAGCTAGTCTAGCAGTAATAAAACCTCAGGTTAAAAGCAGTATGAGCAAAGTGATCATAATGTCATTCGTTCACTTTCTATGCTTTATGCAGGAGGATTGATGGGAAAGGTAAAATATGAACAAACAAGATCAGCTCTTGTTATGAAAAATACTAAGAAACACACCAAGAAACTAGGTTCTGTGTCAAAAGAAAGAGTTTTGTTTGGTATGGGTATCCCATTCCTAAACTCCTTCCCTGTCGGTTGTTAATGAAAAAAATTGAAGAAATTGATGTGGGGGAATTTTATTCAATAAGGGAAACCCTATGCCATGACCTTCCACCTGATCAGCAGGTTGATGGGGTCTATAGAAACCTGGAGAACTTTTTACTTCTGCTGGCCAAGTTCTATTTTGAGACTGATCAGTACAGGAAACCTGGGGATAAGCTGGTGAGGTTCAGTGAGAGGGAGGGAGCATTTAAGGTTGCCATAGGGGGTGATGGGGCTCCTTTTGAGAAATGGGATCAATCTATGTCATGGCTGATACATTTTTTGAATGTGGGGCCCAGGGTAGCTAGTCCCAGTGACAATTTTTTGCTCTTTGGAGCTAATTGTAAGGAGGACCACATGGTTGTTTCTCGTTTTACAGTGAAACTTGCTACAGACATGGAAAAAATAGAGAGCAAATCTTACACAGTATTGGGTAAGAATGTCACCTTTTCTTTTGATCTCCTACCAGGAGATATGAAACTCCTTGCATATATAAATGGGGAATTAAGTAATGCGGCTAAATATTTTTCTAGCTTTGCTAATGTCTTCAAAGATGACTGTAATGCACTGAATGGGAAGTATGGAGAATCTCATGATTGTAAGTGGAAGCCTTGGCAGTATGCAGAAAGAATCAATGTCGCAAAACAGGTTGAAGATTTCAAGAAAAAAATACCTAGTCATTTAGCAGTATCAACAAAGAGATCCAAAGTAACTCAATTTATTGCTGTAAAAAAATCCAGACAAGAATTCAAACCATTAATTGGTAAGCTACGTGACAAGGAAGTTGTTGAACCACTTCACCTTAAGAATAATGGTGTCCAACATTTTCATGCAATGTTACTTGATCTTGCTATTTCTGTAAGTAACCTCCCCAAAAAACTAAATAGCCTTGATGATTTGCCCTCCAATTCGGCAATGTCCAGGTATTTAAAGGCCATGGAACAAGATGTTAAAGCAGGGAGAATGAAAAAACAACTAGGTAGGTGGCTCCTTGAGGATAGAGCTAAAGATAAAGACTTCACTTACAGGTTAACTGGTAAAGATTCCCGCCTAATCTTGCATGGCTTTATGTATCTAGTGAAAGCAATTCAGGGTGACTCAAATGATCCCAAGTTGATAATGCGACTTCTGCCAATTGTCTTCATTGGTATTCGACTCAGGGTTTTTAGGTATGGTAATAAAGATGAAACAAAGGAAAAATAAAAATTACTTGAGATAAAAAAAAAACTAACTACAACATATATATATATATATATATGTTGCTACCTCAACTCATTAGTAACTGTATAGAAAACACTGTTCCCTCTTATATATGTTGCTACCTCAACTCATTAGTAACTGTACAGAAAACACTGTTCCCTCTTCAATGATGAAGCATACCAAAGGCATTCCAATGGCCATAATGGAATTTCACTTCCAACATTTCTTCTTTATATTTATATTTCATAATTCCATTCTTCCTTTCATCAACAATGAGTTCACTTCCCCTTTTCCAACTCCTAGCTTCTTTGTGAATCCTTGGCAGTCCTCAAATTTATTAAATAAGGCACACAGTCTTTTCATACTTGAGAATGTTATTGTGACTGAATAAGGCTGCTCCAAAACATCTACACCAAAACGTGTAAGATTTACAACCCCTTTATTCAATAAATTGAACACTTCCTGTGGCATCGGGACGTCAAAACAAATCATCCAAGGATGGATTTTACTCATCCGCGGACTAAGTCGGCGATAAATACCTTTCTTAGCACGTATCATTGTGCGCTCCAACATGGAAGATATGAGACAAATTTCATGCTGATATCGATCCCGAAGGGGATCGTATTTTCCCTTCACAACAGCCTCGGCCACTTTCCCTAGCGCTTGAAAAGTTTGATCTAGATCTCTCAGCTTATGTACATTTGAAATCCGCCGGGAAAAATTCGACTTCTGGCGATTTAATGCTCCTTTAATGCCACTAATAACTTCCACTTGGTCAGGTTCCCTTTGAGCCGCCATTTTTTTTTTGATTCACATGGACCCAATCCTCCGCGCGGCCGCGAAAAGTTGGCCGAATTTTAGGTCAAAATTTCCAAGCGTGAATCGCAGTTGAAAGTAAGTCTTAAATTAGCAAAATGCCATTACATTAGAGCTAAAAATCGAACTAATTTTTCATACCTTTTGTGGTGCATTTTTAAATGTATAGATTTTGTTTAGATGTACTTTTAAATTAAAGATACCGCAGTGAACTAACGAGTGG